TGGTTTTCATTCATTAAAAATAAATGTATATTTACACATTTATACATATACACACCCACATTTGTTTTGTAAACATTTGATGCATAAAAAGAATCCTCTGGGCTCCCAGCTTCCATTGAGCTCCTGGACACGCCCAGGGGATATAAATGCCAGCTCCTCCCAGAGAGACATCCTGTGCTCAGAGAGATAGGTGGCCCTATCTACAGCCACCAGAACCTCCTTGTGCCGCCCCAATAGGGGCATAGAATATGAGATGCATAGCCTCAGTTAATATTAGCATTGTTATATAGGTTAGAATTTATATAGTGTGATAAATCCCTATCTTGTAAGTCGTTGGAGGGGCCCTCCGCACACCTCACAGCAGTCAAATAAGCAAAAATGGTGTTCGCAGTGATGTTTGATCACAGATGGCGCCGTGCAGTCAAGAAAAGCAGGAGATCACCAGCACTCAATAATGAAGATGAATATGTCCCTTTTATTGGACAAGACCATCACAGAAATCCAAAAGAACCGATGTTTCGGGGCCGTGCAGGGTCCCTTCTTCAAGGCAGAAAGACGTGACCTTCATTATTGAGTGCTGGTCAATCCCTATCTTGGGCACGTGAGATTTTTTAGCTCTGTATTCTCTCAGTAAACTGGTCTCAGAATGCTCTGCTGCCATCTAGTGGCCATTTGCAGAACTGCTGTAGAAATCGTTTTCATATGTTCTCCCAAGCCTGTTTCCCTTATTGTTGATATTAATGCTCTGTATTGCAATCCACTGTTCATATGATCCCCTGTACAATTTATGTTGTACATTATGTTTATGTTTTCATTGTTAAGTTAAGTAGAAATTTTACATCACCACTGGTCTGATCATTTGGCTGATACCGTTACACAACAGTTCCTCCCACCAACCCCTATATAACAACTGTGTCCTGTAGAGACAATGGGATCAACAGGAGAAACCAAAAAGTCAGGCGGCGGATTCAGGCATCCAACACCCGGAAGTGTAATGGATGTGAAGATTCTTTGAGGTGGCGCAGCTGTGCAGAAAAGGGAACGTGAACAGGTGAAAGACAACAGGGGAAAAATTATATCTGCAAATTTGCTTGACTTGTACTGTATAATAAAACAGTTAAATATATTTTACATATGTAATGTTTGTAACATATAAAACAACTTGACAATCAAAAGAAAACGGTAAATGTAATAGCATAGAAATTGTTGGGTCATTTGCAACTAGTCTTTTGCATTGTGTCTATACACAATGTGCCAATGGAGCTGTCCTATAATTTTCTCACTAGTTTAATTTTGCAGTGTGGTTTCTATTAATTCCATTTTTGAATACACTCTGCAATGTTTTAGTGAATTTTAGGGATTAAAGTTTTTTTTAAGCAGTCTTTTAACTTTTGGAAAATTATACAGGTTTGTTTGTTTTTCTATACCTTTACTGAGCTTCGTATTTTCTATTAGAACGTTCCCAGATATTGACTGTTCTGCAGATAGTAGAATATAACTGAGAAGTTTGTAGCATATCTCCACTCCAGTTGCCTCTGATGAGGGCCAGTTCACACCACAAAAGGTTGTGTTCCAGAGCGTTCGGCCTCTGAAATGCAAGCCGGCCAGCTCCCTGCAATCAGGGGCGGGAGGGGGCTTGTTGGTGCATTGAAGTCAATGGCACCGCAGCAACGCCCCCTGCCTGCAGTGCGGTTGCCCGCACCTGGAACACAGGCACTAATGTGCCTGCGTTCCGGTCCAGTGCGACCTGCAAAAATACGGCAAGCACTATTTTTATTTATCAGACAGCTCTGCCTGAGGTTTAATCAGACAAAGCAAGACTAAAGTAGGAGTGTATCAAGTATGTTCTTGGAATCCTTTGTCATGGATACAACATGCATGAAATGTTATTTCTAATACAAAGATGGTATACCTATAGAAAAAAAACAAACTTAAAACGTTGGTTTAAAAACGTAAAAACCTAAAACAATAAAAATGACCCAAACCCTTATAAACTGTAATTGAACAGAGGGTGAAATCAAGCAGAATTACCACATAAGAGGCCGCATTAGATCTGTGCCTAATTCTAGAACATAGCTGATGGACATCATCATTAAGACACAAAGCTGAGGAAATGTGTGTTACCCTTTATTTTTTTACATTTATCATAAACAGTCCAAGAATGGAATCCCCTTGTAATTACTCATTCTATTCAGATTCCATTTGTGTGAGAGGGTCAACAACCAATGAGTGACCTCTAACTCACAAGAGAACAATGTAGGTTAAGCTTTAAATTCCAGATCTAGATTCAGCAGAGCCGCACAGCTCATGCAGCAGAAGAGAATTGCCAGATACCTGCTAATACACATCATTCACAAAAATACCATTGAGCCTCCAATGCCACAAAAGGAAAGGATCGTAACTGCAGGGATCTCTCCAGTGGCATGTGGTTTTACTAGTTTAATTGCTCCAGCTACGTATTACTGATTTGCAGGGAGGAAACGTTTGCAGTTCTACTACAAATTAGTATTTTTTTTACTACAAAATATTTGTATTTTGTAAACTCATAGACTTAAAAGCAAACAATTACTATTCAGCCTTCCTGGTTTGGAACCAGTAGATAACCTTGTAATTTTTCTTTCAGACCTGGCTTTAAAATAAAATGTTTGTAACAAGTCCATATCTCTGAATTTTGGCAGGGGGAGGAAGGGGGGGGGGGTGTCACAGGCACGCAAAGGACAAGTTTAGAGATACAGTACATAGGAATGGCTTCTCAAACTATGAGCAAATTGGGGGGAGGGGAGGTTATGTGGATAAAAGGTGGATACATGATATCTTATAGCTTAAAGATATACTATAATAGTTTTAGATATAAAAAATAAAGACATGCTGCATTTTTCCGCATTACACTGGATGGCACCGGAAGCCAGTGCACAGCAGCACACTGCACTGCTGTGCAGAGACTGTTGAATGGAGTGGACACTTGTACACCGTCAGTAAAAAAAAAAAAAGGTAGACAGTGACTTGTGCAGCAGTGCCTGGTGTAATAATGTAAAGCGTTATTCACACCGCTAGCACCCAGCAGGCCCTCAGGGCTGATTCAAACCAGTGCAATGCGTTAATTGCATGGTTCCGAGCGATTAACACATGCTACTGCAAAATGAACCTACCGATATAGTGCGGGAGGTGCATTGCACTGCCATTTATTTGAATGGCACCCCAAACGCACCTCCGGCAACAATGCACTTGACTGCGCTGCAAAGCTTTGCACAATGCAGCTGGAGGTGCGTTTGGGGTGCCATTTAAATGAATGGCAGCACAACGCACCTCCCGCACCATAGGTGTTAATCATATGGAACTGTGCGATTAATGCATAGCAGTGCGAGTTACCTGCCTTTTAGCTCACTTTGTCTGATAGAAACCTTGTCCAATAATCAATAAATCATTCACATTGTGTGTATAAATTTCAGCTATTGAGTAAACAACATGCTTTTTTTTATAACAAAGGAAATCATGTAACATTTTAAAAGGTTTTTTTTTTTTTTTTTTTAGTCCTCGCCAAGAAAAACACTGCATATTTTAAAGCAAAGCTGTCAGGATAACCAATATGCACGCTCCCATTGCTTATTCTGGAAGTTGTAAACTCCACGGCTGTCATCCTCATCCCTGCATTACTACTGTGCCCTGACCCCTGCTACACACATTTATTCCAGCTCAGTGACTTATCAAATAGAGAAAAATTACACGTGCCATAGTCCTATCCCAACAGGTCTCTTAATTTCACCCAAAGCTATCATTTCAGCAGGCTGCATTGTCAACCTGCTTTTCATATCTTTAGTAATATGGTGGCAATATCTTAACATCTTCAATTTGCAGTGGCCACCAAGTCAGCAACACTCTTGCCAATAAAATGTGTTGACATTATAGAGAAAGCAGCAGAAAAATGTGGCTTTACCATAGACTTGAAGCGGTCTCTCAAAAATAAGGGAACACATCTGTCAGTCCTCTGTAGCATCGGAATTCACCACTGCTTCTTGTGTAATTCAGCAAAGGGACAGAAGTGCTACACAAATAATTAGTACCTTATCATTGAAGATGAGGGAAAGTCTGTTCAATCACATGGATATTCTAGATTTGTGGGAAGTAACCCATTCCAGGAGGTAGTGAGTTGTACTAATAAATAGTGCCACAAAGAAGATGAAGGAATCATGAGTCAAGCTGGCCAAAGGCATTTATTGTAGCTTGGATGTAAGGTAACCAAAAGACCCTTCTTATCTCCTTACTACAATGACATTGACATGCACATTCATAGAAAAACAGCCCCCAGCCTGTTCCCAATTCAGATCAGCTGTGCCTTCTTCTTTGAAACTATGTGGTCAACTGCCAGCACACATTCCTGAACCTCACTGATTAAATTGGCTCTTTCACAATAGATTATCATTTTCCACTGATATAGTAATTCAAAAACTACCGCCATGTCTGCTGTTTGTCCAAGAATGCAAATGTTTTACATGATTTTCATCAATGCCCAATGCCTACTTTAGTTCCGTTTTTTTAACTGGTGACTTTTTTTTGCAAATAAGATGAAATATAAAGGTGCCCATAGATGAGCAGATTTCAGCTTGCAACACGGGAGATGATGGTAGATAAAGCTCTACCATGTGGCTATCCAACCATATTTTATTAAATTATTACATAGACAAGCGCTGTCATATCCCTCAAATGTGCATGTACCCCATGTAGACCATCCAGTAAAAAACCCAACCTCCTTTAATATGAAATATTCTCTCCACAAACAACAAAACTTGTTTCCATACTTCAAAGGCCGGTGTAAAGCCATCTGAATGTTACACAAGTTTACGATAAAATCCTATAAAAACAAAAAGACAATCCTCCATCTCCAGGAATTCTCTTACACATATATGCAAGCAAAGAAAATGAATGCTCTTAAATTCCCAATCTGACACTCTATTGACTGTTTAATATTCAGTTAAGCAGCTGTGTGTTTTCTTTTCACCTACCTGATTGACGTGATTCAATTTATCAATGATCTGGTTAATTACGGGTTCAGTACTCCTGGCTTTCCCTTCTTGGTGGCTCGTTTGAACCTTTAAGCCATTTTTCACAGTGTGAGGATTGAACCTGAAAGAATATTGACAGATCACAAAGGTGTTAGGATTGATCTGCTTAGTGCTGCCAGCTAAGGAAATTCCACAGGCAAGGTTAAAGAAAAAACATTTCTGTTCCTGTACTGAGACTATGCTACTTTTGTATGTCAGATTTCAAAAGCTGTACCATAGACACTATAAGGCTGTATGATGGTCTGACCAACCTTGGGTACCTGTCTTCCAGCGCACCCCTGAGCATGAACCTTCATTGCTGTTGCATTTGCAGTTAAAGATAAACTCCAGAAATTATCTATTATGTATACTACATTGGTCTAGCAATGTAAGTATCAATATCTGATATGCAGAGGGCCCCTGGTGATTCTAAAATCACTACAGTAGTCCATGCTACATACAGTAATAGCTGGTCTCTTTCGCTTGCGGCTCCAGCGACTTCTCCTCTGCACACCGAGCATAGGGAATTGCTCTCTCGGCATTGCCACCATTCAGAGAACACCTTGTATAGTTTCCAACGAATATAAGGCATTTACTTATTAGACAAGGTGGAGATGATGACGTCACATGCCCCTCCTCTTCACCTTGCTGAATTAGAAAACACCTTGTATTCATGGAGAAAAATGCAAGATGTTGTCTGTATGGCGGAGGTGCTGAGCAAGGGACTACCTGTATTCAATGAGCAGCAAGAAGAGACCAGTGCTGACTGTATGTGGGGCAGACTACTACAGAGATTTTCAGCATTCCCAGTGGCCCTCCAGAGGTCACATATGGATACTTATGTTGAGCCAAGCTGGTCCAAGGTAAGTATCCATAAATTATAAATTACTGTTCCACTTTCAGAGGGGAGAAGAAGACTACTGCAGACACCTCAAGCCTTTGCTTGTAAAGGGGAAAAAAAAATAGTTGACAAACACGGATTTCTAGCCTGTCTGATCACTAATGCTCTTGTGAAGCCTTTAGTGGAGACGGTCTGCAGGTAGCCCATAGAAAACCGACAGATTGGCTGGATAACAATCTAATGTATATGGGAATGTTTAGGTATGAGAGGGAATGATAGTCAGGTATCTACCATTTACTATTAATGATCACGGTCTCTGGCTACCAGAAGTATTGCGTTCCTAACATTAGTGCCAGGGCTGTCCCTAAGTAAATCGCTGCCTGAGGAGACG